GTCGTCGGACGAGTCGATGACGATGACGATGCGGTGGCGCGACGCCGGCTCGCCGTCGTCGCCGTCCGCCGAGTCCTCCTCGCCGCCCTGCTTCTCCTCGTCGTCGGCCGCGGCCGCGGACGGCGCGCGGCGCCGCCGCTTGCGCGGCGAGCCGCCGGGCCCCTTGTCGACGTATTCCACCAGGAGCTCCTCGTTGGCGTCGACGTCGCGGAGGAGCTTCAAACCGAGGCAGGAGCCCGGCAGGTTCCGCTCGATGGTCCGCTTCGCGTTCGCGACCTGGCCGAACTCCTCCATGGCCTCGTTGACGAAGAAGGAGTGGGCCCAGACGTCGTCGCCGGTCTCGTGGGAGAAGTTGCCGAGCTTGAAGTAGGTGCGCCCCTTGGACGTGATGATGTAGCGCTCGGACCGCGGGCCGTCGTCCTGGTCCGCGAGCGGCGGCGCGGATTCGACGTAGGGCGACGTGACGTCGACGAAGGTCTTGCCCTTGGCGAGGCGCATCTTCGCGACCATGCCGTGGCCGTGGACGACGCCCCGGTCCGTGATGAGCAGGTTGTTCGTCCAATCGCGGTTGAGGTTGAAGAAGCCCTCCTCGTGGAGGCCGTTCGAGCCCAACGCGCGCAGGTCCTCGTAGTCGTAGAAGGCCTTGCCCGCCTGGCCCGGCGCGCGGGCCCGGGGCGGCGCCGGCGCCGGCGGCGACGCGCGCGGCCGCTTCTTCGTCGTCGGCGGCGCGGCCCTCGCGGGCGGCGACGGCCGCCGCGCGGCCGCCTTCCGCGCGGGCGCCGCGGTTCCGCCGCCGTCGCGCGCGGACCAGGCCTCGAAGACGCGCTTCGCGGCGGCGAGCATCTCGGGCGACGGCGTGCCCGCCTTGCCCGGCGGCACGGGCGTGCGCGCCGGCCGGTCCCAGTCCCAGCCGTCCGCCGCCTGGCCCGTCGTGTGCAGGTAGACGAGGAGCTCGGTCCGCGACCGGAAGCGCGCGCCCTCGGGCGAGAGCCAGTAGGTGTCGGGGGGGCCGTCGCCCTTGCGCTTGATCTCGTAGAGCGTCCAGCCGGCGCCGAGGCCGGCGATGGCGGCCCCTCGCTCGCCCTGGCGCATGCCGGTGCAGTACGAGAGCGCGCACGACTGCCGCGACTCCGCCGCGGTCCCGTAGCGCTTCTTGTAGCACTGGAGGCACTTGCCGCAGCCGACGCTCGACCCCTCCCGCACGGCCGCCGCGTGGCGGCACCCGGGGCACTCCTTGCACCGCGTCGCCTTGTCCATGCTCTGTTGCGGTGCGCGGCGCGGCGCGGGCGCGGCGCGGGCGCTCGCGGCGGCTTCCCAACGATGGACCGCGACCTTTTCGCGGCTCCTGGCGCGTGTCCCGCGCGCTGATGCGGCGCGCGTCGAGCGCGGCGGCGGCGCGAAGCGCGGGTCGACGAGGGGCCTGGACCGCTCTCCGGCGCGGCCGAGCTCTCCGGCAAGCGGCGCCTGTGGCAATCGCCGCGCGAGCGGCCCTCGGCAGCGACGCGCGCGCAATCGCTCAGCCCAGACCACATTCGTCGTCAGCACACACACCCATGACGAACGAACCCGAAAAACCGTTCAACGCCAAGGCCTACGGCCTCTGGTCCCTCGGCTGCGCGAGCCTGCTGTCCTACCGCTACTTCATGCCCAAGAGCGTCGCGGGCGTGGCGTCGCCGGGCGTCGTCGCGGTCAAGGCGCTGTCGCTGGCGACGCTGCTCAGCGTCGGCACCTTCGCCACGGGCTTGGGGGCCCTCGCCGCGTACCTCGACGTGTCGTCGATCGCCGAGTTCTCGGCCGTCGCGCGGTCGCGCGCGCCCGGCGCGCTCAAGGCCCTGGGCTACGAGCGCAGAGTCGCCGCGCCGTCGCCCGAGGCCGAGGCCGAGTGGCAAGCGATCGACGCGACGATCCGCGCGGCCTGGGACGCGGGCGACTGGTCCAAGTTCGACGAGGGCGTCCGCGCGTCCTTCGGGCTCTACTTCAAGGACGACGGCGCCGCCGCGCCGGCCGACGACGCGGCGGGAGGGCGGCCTAAGTCGTAGTTTCCATGTTTGGTGGCACCGCGCGCCGCGTTGAACCACTTCAACGTTTCAAGGTGCAGCCCGAGGGAAGTCCCAGATGATGACGAAAGGCCCGGCACTCGACCCCGGCGCCGGCCGCAGCGCGTGACGACGAGTAGCCCAATCCCGGCAACGCGGCGAGGCCGCTCCTTACCCGACCCGTCGCGCGTGGAAAAAGGGCCGGGGGGATTAGACTTGGTGGAAGTCCGTGCAGTGATGGCGGCCGCGCGCGCGCGCAGTGGCCGCGGTGTGCTCGAATCGGTCTGTGATGCGCATCTCGACCTTGGCGGTCGCATTCTTGCGTCCGATCTGGTCCATGGGTCCGTGCGACTTGCCTGGAGGCCCCAACACTAACGTGAGCAGCCCCTTGGCCAACCAGGTACACTCGATGACGCTGTGCGCCATGCCAGTCGTTCGAGGCCGCTGCGCGAATGGCTCCGGTCACGGCGCGGTCCATGGCGCGGCGCTGTGCTCGCCGACATATTAGAACGTGGTACTTGCCGCTCGGCTGCGCGTGGTGCCACCCTGGGGCTGCCGCAGAGGCACTGGAAGCTGTGCCGCCACTGGGAATCGTCGCTCCGACGCCCAAGCGTTCGACGACAGAGCCAATTCCCGCAAGCAGAGCACCTCCGGAGTCATCCATGGGTACGAGGTGTCCACCGCCGCCACCTAGGCCCCAGGCGTCGCGCTCCACGACCAGCTCGGCGCGAGGGGCTGCCTCTCGGAGGACGAGCGCCGGCGCCGAGTCGAGTGCAACATCAGCTCAGTTCGAATCGACCAATGGGAAGCTCGCACACCCGCCTGCGGACCCCCGGCGAGCTAGGGAGAGGGATCGGTCGTGGTACTGCTTCGCCGTCTCCGAGTTGGCCGGGGGTCCGCAGGCGGGTGAAGCTCGCATTCGTGGCGCGCGCGCGGCGACGCCATGGCCTCGATTCCGAGCCGGCCACCTCGGCGCATGACCCCAGCAGCCCCCACGGACTACCCTACGAGTCCGCCGGCCGAGTCGCCGGGATTGGGCGTCGCGGAAGGCGACCCCCCGACGCGGGTGCCGGCCCTGTTGATGACGAGACGATGGTGGCTTGCGCTTGCGCTCCTCTGCCTGCCGCAGACAGCCGGCGATGAGGTCGTCGCGCTGCAGCTCGCGGGCTGCAACTCGGACTGCGGGCGCGTCGAGGTGAAATTCGCGCCGGGCGGCGCCTGGCGCGGCGTCGCGGCGTCGAATTGGACCCTGCGCGAGGCGACGGTCGTCTGCGCGGCGCTGGGCTTCCCGAGCGCGGCGTCGGCGTCGGCGGCCTTCGGCGGCGGGCGCGGCGCGGGCCCCGTGGCCTTCGCCGAGCCCTGCGGCGGCGGCGGCGCCGTCGGCGGCCTCTGCGCGCGGCCGTGCGCCACGGCCGAGGAGTGCGCGGCGCCGGCCGCGGGCGTGTCCTGCCGCGCGGGCCGCGCCGCGGACCCCGCGGCGCTCGCGGCGGCGCGCAAACTCGTCGCCTCCTGGCCGGCGCCGCCGCGCGCCGACGTTTGTGGAGAGGCGGACGCGGGACCCGCGGCGGCGAACCCGTTCGACGCGGCGAACCTCGGCGCCTACGTCTTCGGCGACGCCCTCGCCGGCGCCTGGGCCGCGAGCCGGGCGCGCGTCGCCGGCCGCCTCGGCGGCGCGCTGGGGCGCCTCGTCGCGGCGGGCGACGTCCGGGCCGACGCGCTCGGCGTGTCGCTCGACCGCGCGGACGCGGCGGGCGCGGCGCTCGCGCGGGCCGCCTACCTCGCCGACGACCCCAACGGCCAGTTCCACTGGGAACTCGACGGGCCGCTGCCGCCGCCGGCGGACCCGCTGGGGGCGGCGCTGGCGCGCGACGGCGTCGCGGTCGTCGACGACTGGGGTTTCGGCGACGTGGCGCTCGACGCGCTCGCGCGCGACGCCGAGGAAAGCCTGCGCGGGCCGCCGTCGGCGTTTCTCTCCGTGACGTCCGGCGGCGCCGTCGCCACGGCGCGTATGCGGCTGCCCGCCGTCGAGGACTTTCTCGCGCGCAACGCGACGCTCCGCGCGGCCGTGGAGTCGTACCTCGGCGCGGACGCGGCCCTCGACGGCTACAAGGTCACGCGCCTCACGACGCGGGGCGAGGACGAGGGCGCCTACATCGCCGGGCTCTGGCACCACGACCGCGTCGGCCGCCGGCTCAAGCTCTTCGTCTACCTCCACGACGTCGACTGCGACGACGGCCACCCGACGCTCGTCGCGCGCGGCACGCACCGCCTGCGGTACTACCGCACGGACAGCTTCGCGGCGAGCCGCTTCGAGGACGCCTACGTGCGCGGCGCCTACGACGTCGTCGCCGCGTGCGGCCGGCGCGGCGGCGGCTTCCTCTTCGACACGCACGCGGTCCACAAGGGCACGCCCGAGGGCGCGCGGGACCGCACGACGGTCATCGCCGAGTTCCACAGCGCGGCGAAGTGCCCCGCGCTCGAGGCGCTCGGGCTCGGGCTGCCCTGCCCGAGCGGGGACCAGTACCTCGTCTAATTAGAAGTCGACGGACGTCGACGCGCGCCGCCGCGCGTCGTTGATCGGCGGAAGATCCGCCAAACCGAGTAATTTGGTGTGACCTGGCTATATCGACACCTTAGCTATACACGAGCCCCCCGACCTTGTGGCCCCCTCAGGAAGGCTCAAGAAGGCCGCCCGCGCGCCGCCGCGCGCGCCGCGCGGCTCGCCTGTTGCTCCGCGCGCGCGCGTTCCTCCTTCTCCTTCGTCGCAGCAGCAACAGCCTCGTGGAACGCTTCCCTGCGACGATAATTCCAAGCTTCTCCGACTTCCACTGCTCGCCTTCTGAGCTCTTTTTCTGTCCGCGGAATGCTGCTTCCATGGCCGCGTCGTGTGAGAATCCCGAGTTCGCACTTGAGGAGGTAGATGATCTCTTTCACGATCGCGGTCAGGCTGTGCTTCACGTCCTTCGGGCTGAAGCTGGGACACTTTCTACTCCTCCTATAGCCGCATGTGCCTTTGAACTTAACGTTTTTGGCTCGTTCGCCTTTCGGTAACCACTTTTTTCCGAAGCGCCGACCTGCCCACTGATGCTGCTTCATCTTCTTCACGGAGCCGCTGCCCGCGGAGGGGTAGGCACTGACGAGAGCAGAGGTGTACTCGCGGTATCCGGTTCCTACCAATTCCAACGCCTTCGCTTGCTTGGCTGGACCAACACCACTTCCACTGATCAACTCATTTGCTTGGCGATACAGCGTGGACGAGGCCACGTTGTGCGCGTTGACAGCGACGTCGGGCAGGTGCCCGTTCTCAAGGCGCTGGTCGAGCAGAAGTTCCCGGTCTGGAAAGCGATCTCGGTCGATGCTAAACTTGCTCGCAGCGCCTTTGCGCGGGCGTCCGGGGTCCGACATGGCGTCCGGGGTCGGCGCGGCGTCCGCGGGGTCGGCGCGCGGCGTCTGGCGGGGCGCGCACGGCCCACGAACAGCGCGTCGAAACACGCTCTATACAGCTTCTATCGCAAGGTAGTTGTGGTAAAACTTTGGCTTCGCCGAAGCGTGTTGCACCTCTGTGTTGCAGGTTTTACAATCACGAGATGTGCTCGATCACAGGCTGCGAGACGCACGTCGCCGCCTGTCGCCTTCGTCGAGCTTCCTCGCGACGCAGCTCGGGCCCCCGCCCCACGCCACCGTCGAGCTTCCTCGCGCCCCACGTCGAGCTTCCTCGCGCCGGCGGCTCAGGCTCGTGTTCGAGATGGCCGGCAACGACGAGGCCGTCGCCTGCGTCTTTGCGTACGAGGGCACGTTCTTCCGCCTCATGTCCTACCAGTACTCCGAGGACCTCGCCACCGTCAACATGAACATGCAGATCGAGTTCAACGTTAAGGACTCGGAGTTCACAAGAGAGGCCACGGTCCGCGACGTCGCCTGCATGGTCGGCCTGGGCTTCCTCACCTCCTCCATGGTCGGCGTCCTCCCCGTCTTCTCGACGAAGATCGTGGACATGGCGCCGGACGGCGCGACGCCCGCCGCCTACGCCTCTTTGACGTACTTCGAGTCCTACCTGCCCGCGGACAAGCAGCGCAAGTTCCGCAAGCTCATGACGTACGCCTTTGCGAAGCAGCTCATCATGCACCGGCCGACGCGCCTCAAGTCGAACCGCAAGCGCGTCCACGACCTCATGGACAACGCGCAGAGCGTCATCCAGGCCGCGGTCTTCACGAAACTGAAGGTAAAACCTCCCCGAACCCCCCAAAATCCCTTCAAAATCCCCTCAAAACACCCCCTAAAGCACCCCCAAAACGCACGCAGGCCCGCGTCAACGACCCGCAGTTCAAGGAGGCGCTCCTCGCCAAGAACTGGCAGGAATGCCTCAAGTGCTTCGGCGAGGACTACGTCAACAAGAAACCGCCCGTGCAGCAGATCGGCACGAACTTCGACAACTCGTCGAACTAAGCATCCTCGAGAGACCGCCGACGCTTCGCGTCGCATATCCCTCCCCTGTACATAAAGTAACGAGGACCGACGCCACTTTACCCGCCGCGCCGACGCGCGCTAGGCCGCCATCAGTTCCTTGGCCGCGGGCGCGAAGGACGCGAAGCCGATGAAGAAGATGCACGTGTTCTGCACCACGAACGTCCCGGAGCGGAGCGCGTCCATGTTCGCCGCGTAGAAGAGCGTGAAGAGGACGCGCAGCGGCACGACGGGCGCCGCGAGCTTCGCGAAGAAGACCGGGTCGAGCTTGAGCGTCGTCGCGGCGAAGAAGCAGGGCATGAGGTAGGCGCCGACGGTCTCGAGCGCGTTGTTGTGCGCGCTCTGGAGGCGGAAGCCCAGCGGCGTCACCTTGTAGAGGTCCGGGCCGCGCTGGATCCGCGGCGTGTTGTTGTCGTAGGCGTTCGTCACCGCCGCCGTGTACATGATGCTGACAATGCCGCTGAAGAAGGCGAAGGCGCTCGTGTAGACGGCTACCACCATCGGCACGTCCGCGACGGGGACGCCGTACATGGCCACGAGCTGGTCCGCGTACTCGCTGGCCAGGTAGGCCTTCGTGCCGAAGAAGGCGCCGGCGAGGACGGGAGGGAAGAGGGCGTTGACCCAGAGGAAGGAGCCGGACATGGTGAGGAGCCCCATTCTATCGGAATCGTCGGTGACTTCCACTTCCACGCCGGTGGATGGCAGCGCGGCGGAATCGGGGCCCGGGGGGCAGCATCGCGGCATCGACGACAACATCAGCTTGAGTGCTGTGCTATCGGGCGATTTTGGAGCTGCTGGGGGCCAGAGAGAGCGTCTCGCAGCGTCGTCGCAGCGGAGCAGGTCTCGCAGCCGCACGTTTTTAAACGATGGACGGCGCGCTCGTCGACGACCAAAACCCGACGGCGACCTGGGGCCGCATCCAGGAGAACCTCGGCGTCCTGGGCCACTTCAAGGAGCGGGCCAAGAAGGGCAAGGCGCGGGCCGAGTACCTGCGCGAGCTCGGCGAGGATTTGACGTCCTACTACGGCTACCTGCAGGAGCTCACGGAGCTCTTCCTGACCATCTTCTCGCCTTCCGAGTGCGTCGAATTCATGGACGCGAACGACAAGCCGCGGCCCGTCGTCATCCGGACGAACACGCTGAAGACGCGGCGCAAGGACCTCGCGCAGACGCTGATCAAGCGGGGCGTGCACCTCGAGCCCATGGCGGCCTGGTCCAAGGTGGCGCTGAAGATCACGGAGAGCAGCGTGCCCGTCGGCGCGACGCCGGAGTACCTCGCGGGCCACTACATGCTCCAGAGCGCGGCGTCGCAGTGCCCCGTGCTCGCGCTGGGGCCCGAGCCCGGCGAGCGCGTCCTCGAGCTCGCCGCGGCGCCGGGGGGCAAGAGCTCCTACTGCGCGCAGCTCATGAAGAACTCGGGCACGCTCGTCTGCAACGATTTGAAGAAGGAGCGGCACAAGGCGACGGTCGCGAACCTGCACCGCCTCGGCGTGTCCAACGCCGTCGTCTGCTGCCACGACGGCCGCGCCTTCCCGGGCGTCATGGGCGGCTTCGACCGCGTGCTCCTGGACGCGCCGTGCACGGGCCTCGGCGTCATCTCGCGCGACCAGTCGATCAAGGGCACGCGGACGCTCGAGGACGTGAAAAAGCTCGCGCACCTCCAAAAAGAATTAATCCTCGCGGCCATCGACTCCGTCGACGACAAGAAGGCGGGCGTCGTCGTCTACTCGACGTGCTCCGTCGCCGTGCTCGAGAACGAGGACGTCGTCCAGTACGCGCTCGACAAGCGCAACGTGAAGCTCGTCGACGCGGGCCTGCCCTTCGCCTGCGACGCCTTCGTGCGCTGCGGCCAGAAGCGGTACCACCCGTCCATGGCCCTCGCGAGGCGCTTCTACCCGCACACGCACAACATGGACGGCTTCTTCGTCGCCAAGCTCCAGAAGCTCTCGCCCAAGGACAAGCAGAAGAAGCGCAAGCTCGACGAGTGAGCCCCCCCGGGGGCGCCTAATCGACCGGTCGCCCGACGAGTGAGCCCGGGGGCGCCGAATCGACCGGTCGCCCGCGTGCTTACCTTGGCGGGCCCGGGTCTTTCAACCCAGGCCCTACGGTAGGGGGCCCGGACCAGGGAGGACCCCAGTTCTGCGGGGGCAGCGCGCGGCGCAGGTCGACGTCGACCTCCGCGACGGCCGCGTCGCCGTCGCCGTCGACGCCCCAGGCGGCGAAGTAGGCCGTGGTCAGCAGCGGCTGTTCTCGGTTCGTGACGCCGCCCGTCTCGATCGCGCGGACGAGGCCGGCGTAGGCCGTCGGGTTCGCGGTCGCGGTGATCTCGAGGTTGCGGCGCCCGAGGCGGTCGTGGGCCCAGATGAAGTCCGGCTCGAGCCCCGCGTCCGGGTCGCTCACGGCGTAGAACTTGAGCACGTGGGGCTCGCGCGCGCGGCACCGGCGGCTCGGCGCCGTGTTGCCGCACGCGTTCTTGAAGGCCCCGCATCGCGCCGAGTCGTACTCGACGACGAGGCGCGTGCGCTCGCCGCGCGCGACGCGACACACGGCCTTGTGCTCCGCCCAGCACGCGGCCTGGCATTCGCGGGAGCAGTACCAGGCGCGGTGGCACTTGGCGCAGGCCATCGTGTCGACGCGGGCGCAGCCGGCCCGCGCGCAGGGGAAGGCCGCGGCCTCCGGAACCGGCGGCTCGGCGGCGACCGCCAAGTCGATGGTCCCGAGATGCCGTCGACGCTCCTCTTCGACCACCCGACGATCGCCGGCATCGCCGAGTGCCGCGTCGACGTCCTCCGCCGTCGGGGAACGCGGCGCGTCGTCGTCGCCCGACGCCTCGTCGTCGGACGCGGGCTTCTCGGCGTTTCCGGCCCGCTTCCGCCGGCGCCGCTTCTTGCGCTTCTTCGGAGCACCGGCGGCGGCCGGCGCGGCCTCGGTCCCCGCGGCCACCTCGGCGGGCGGGCGACGCGCGTTCTCGACGAGCCGCGCGTCTCTGACGAGCGCGGCTCGCGCCTCGGCGTCCGACGTCGGCGCGCGGAGGTTCCGCGGCCGCACGGCGAGCTCCTTCTTCGAGTCGACGAGCATGACGGCCAGCCGCCCGTCCGGGCGGTGCATCGAGACGAACGCGAGCGCGCCGTTGTAGGCGCTCCCGGCGGCCGAGGTTAGCCCGTGGACGATGACGACCTGGCCCGGCGCAAAGGCCGGCGCGTCGTCGTCGCCTCCGCGCCGGCCCAGGTCGGCGACGGCGCGCCGAGCGAGCTCGTCGAGGAGCGGCTGGGCCGGGTCGGCGTCGTCGGCCCCGAGCGGCTCGACGACGGCCGGCTCCCCTTGCGCGAGGGCGGCGAAGGCCCGGGCCTGGGCCCTCGGGAGCCCGCCGAGGGCGTCGACGCTCAGCGCGGGGTCCTCGTAGAGGCCGCGCCGCTTCCGGTCCGCGCGCGTCCGCTCCGTGCCGTAGCGCTTGAACGCGACGTTCGTGAAGAAGCCCACGGGCGACTTGTGGACCGCCGACGTTGAGTCGGCCTTGGGGTGCCGCGCGCCGAAGAGGTGGTGGTGGCGCGCCTCGGCGGCCACGCCGCGGCGGAAGAGCGCGGCGCCCTCGTCGTCGCGGCCCTCCTGCGCGAGCAGCGCCGACATCGTGAAGCAATAGCCGCTCAGGAACCGGTCGTCGTCGTGCGCCGCGGCCAGGGCGAGCTCGAGGTCCGCGCGCGCGCCGACGACGTCTCCCCGCGCCAGCCGCGCGAAGATGCTCTGGCAGCGGCGGGTCGGGTCGCACTCGACCATTCGGTCGAGGTCCCGCGCCGCGGCCCCGACGTCGCCGCGCGCCATCCACTTGCAGGACCGAAGCGAGTAGAGTCGCGCCAGCACAGACGGTGGCGCCAGGACTTGGTTGGCCAGGACGCCGCCCATGAACGCGCAAGGGCGTCCGCGACTCTCGAGGAGTCGGATCAAATCGTCGAGCGTCGAAGCTGCCGCCGCGCTATACTCGGCGTCCCCCCGGCTTCCGAGGTGCTCGGCCATGATGAAGTTCAAGACGGCGCACAGCCAGGGATCCGGGCCTTCGTCGAGCGCGTTGTGGGCGAGGCTCAACCTACCACGCATGTCGGTGACGATTTCCCATCGTTTTCCCAGCCCAAATCTCTCGAGGTTGTCACGGCCACAGGACGCTGGGCTCCAACGCGGTGTACTGGTGGTAGTTCATGGTCGAGCACTTGGGGTCGGCGAGGTACGCGTCGGTGACGAGCTGCACGCCGGCTCGGACGATTTCGATGTCCGCGGTGGCGCCGCGCCCGACGTCGTGCTTCAAGACCGCTGCGGACTTGGCAGGCTGCGACGGATAATCCCGCGCGAGCGTCTGCTCCAGGCCGGGGAACCCTCTGAGGATGACCCGGATGCCGACGGTCAACATGACGCTCGCCTCTCGCAGCACGAGCATCTCCGGCGAGCGCGACTCGTCGAGGTGGTCGCCGGTGTTGGGGTACGCCGTCGCCCCGGACTGAACGTGGAACTTGGGCGACTCCTCGGTGCCCATGCAAGTAAAGGGCGTCGGCCCCACCGCGAACCATCTGACGCGCACGGCGTCCAAGAGCGGCGCGGCGAGATCAACCGCCGCCTGTGGGAGCCCGATGGAGCCCGATGGAGCATCGATGCTACCCTTACTCGTAGTAGGCAAGATGTGTTTGTAGAGCGAGACCTCCTCCATGACGGACGCGGGCGCTTTTCACTGCTGCCCGAATCCCTCGCCTCCCATCCTCCAGTGCGGCAAGTGTGCGGCAGCCAAGCTGCTCCACCGACCTTTGCCGTTCTCGCCGCGAGCGATGTGCTCGTGCTGATCAGTGCCTCGCGCAAAGTCGACACTCAGCCATGCTCTGCTCCTCGTGGCTCGCGACGATGCAGTGGTGGTGCTTCGCCGCGACGTTCTACTTCGCCACGCTCCACTACGCCGACAAGCGGCAGGCGCGGGCGAAGCAGCAACCGCTCGTCGACGTGGGCTTCGAGCTGACGCCGCGCATCACGCAGCTCCAGTACGTCTGCGACGCCTTCGGCGTGGGCGGCGCGCTCTGGATGTTCGCCGTGCTCGCCGTCGGCGACGCCGCGCACACGGAATACGTCCGCGCGCTCTTCGACTACAACGCGCTGGGAAACGCGCTGTCGTCGACGCTGCACGTCGTGACGATCCTGCCGACGGCGGAGTTCGCCGACAGCGGCCTGCCGCTCATGGGCGGCTCGGCGGACAAGCTCATGAGCAACCACACCTTCAACTTTTCCATCGGGCTCCGGGCCGTGACGCTCTGCTACGGCTGGCCGGGCTGGGCGCTGCCGCTCGGCGTGGCCGTCTACTCGTCGTGCCTCGTCTGCACGCGGTGCCACTACACCGTGGACATCGTGCTCGCCTGGTGGGTGCTGCTCTTCGTCCTCGCGCTGGACCCGGGCCTCACGCGGGACTGGCTCTCGGAGCTCGCGGCGGCGCTCTACGGCTCCGGATAAGAGGGGGCGCGAGGCGCCGACCTAGACGGGGATCTCGTCGGAGCTCGCGCTCTTCTACTCCTACGAGGAGCGGAGGCATCTAGACGCGGATCTTGTCGGCCTCCTGGAGCTTCGTGCTCGGGCGCGGCCGCCGGCCCGGCGCCGCGGGCGGCGTCGGGCCGATCTTCGCGGGCCGGTCGAGCGTCACGGTCCGCGCGGGCGGCGCGTCGTCGTAGCCCCCGCAGACGAGGGTCGCGTCCATGTCCATGCCGAAGAGCGTGCAGTAGGCGTTGTCCGCGGCCTCGACCTCGCGGTGGACGACCTTGCACGCGTCGGCCTCCGCGCGCGACACGGCCGCCTGCCGCCGGAGCAATTCGATCTCCGCGCGCGCGACATCGAGGCGGCTCCGCGCGTCCCGGAGCTCGTCCGCGGCCGTCGTGTCCTGCCCGGGCTTCCGGCCCGTCCACCGCTCCTCGAAGTCGTCGTCGCGGTCGTCGCCGCCGCGCGCGTCGAGGAGCGCCCGGAGGTGCCTTTTCGCCGTCGCCGCCTCGTTCTTCGCGGCCTCGTTCTGCTTCTTGAGCGCGTCGATCTCGCGCCGCGCCTGCTCGAGCGCCGCGTCGCCGGCGGACGCGCGGTCCAGGAGCTTCGCGCGGTCCTCGGCGTCCGCGGCGAAGCCGACGGCCTCGCGCGCGTGGCGCGTCGTCAGCCGCCGCGTCTCCTCGACGACCCGGCGCGCCTCCGTGAGCGCGCGGCTCGACAGCACGGCGACGTGGCGCTTCGCGTGGGCCTGGCCCTCGAGGTCCAGCGCCTCGTAGGCCGCCTTCCGCGCGGCCTTCTCGAGATCCGCGGCGCGCGCGGCGACGGCCGTCCCGGCGGCCGCGGCGGCCGCGTCCGCGGCGCGTTTCGCGCAGCCGCGCGACGACGCCCGGAGCTCCACGTCAAAGTCGACGGTGAAGATCGTCGGCTCGTAGGAATCGTCGAAGGACTCGAGGTCCGCCGCCGTCGCCTGGCGGAAGAGCTCGAGGGCCCGCCGGCCGTTCTCCTCGACCGTTGTCGCACCGGCCTCCATGCTCGTGTGGAGGTCGCGCATGCTCTGCGTCTTGTAGCCGCCCTTCGGGGGCAGCCGCGGCGCGCCCGCCTGCACCTCCTCCGTGATCACGTTCGGAGGCGCCATCCTGTTATGCTCTCGTGGCCTGCGGCGGGATCGGGGCAGCATCGACGGTGCTCGGCATTCGTCGTATCTCTGTCGGGTCGATATTGCCTCGCCTCGCCTCGTCGCCGCACATCGCATGGTTGCCGCGTCCGATCAAGCGCCCCGCGGCCCGCCCCCCCGGGCCGCCGGGCCGCGCCCCACGCGCCGCCCGCGAACGCCGCGCCCGACGTTCGCCGTTTTAGGTCGCGAAGATGACGCAGTGGCACAAGATGGGCATGCAGGCCTTCATCGCGAAGGAGATCATGCGGAAAGACACGCTGCCCTTCGCCATCGGCATGGGGTGCGCCGCGCCGCGCCCCCGGACCGCCCGCCGCCCGCGGGACCGTCCCCCCTTCGCAGCTTCGTCGCCTTCATGGGCCTCTACCTCAACGCCGGCATCACCGGTCCGCGGCCGGCGCCCGGCCTCCTCCGCGCGCGCGCGCCCCGCCGACGCGCGCTCGCTCACGCCGCGCGCCCCCACTCGCAGAGGCGGACAAGAAGGACAGCGCCTACTACAAACAGTTCGTCCTCAACGAGCGGTCGGGCCACTAGGTGATTTTAGCCGCGCGGGCCGGCCGCGCGAGTTGGCGCGCGCCCCAAGTCTAAGAACGTGCGCCGCGAGAACACGTGAGTGCTCTGGTCGTCTCGTTTTCGGCGTCGTGGGGTCGCGAGGGGGTCGTAGGCCGGGGGGCGGGGCGCGGCGCGCCGCTGCGGGCATCGAGAGCAGGCTCTGGAGCTTGAGCAGCTCCTGGAGCGTGCGCCGCGCCCGCGAACGACACCTACTCACGCCATGTCCTCGCGCCGCCGCGCGCCGAAGCGCAAGCCCGTCTCGGCCTCTGTTCGCGCGGGCCTCGAGGACCTCGCCTCTGGCAACGTCGCTGCGATCGCATCGATGCTCGACAAGGAGCTGAAGGACGAGGCCGCCGTCGCCGATGCGTTAGAGGAGGTCATGGGAGTCAACTCCATCTCCGCGGAGCAGCTCCTCGCGAGCTACTTCGAGGCGGACATGCTCAGCGCCTACTCGTCGTCGCTCGGCAAGTCGGGCAAGGGCTCCGCGGCGACGCTCGCGGCGCGCGTCGCCGCCGAGTGGGCGAAGCCGTCGTTCAAGGCGAAGCGCGCCAAGGCTGAGGCGGAGGAGAGCGACGACGACTTCGCCGACGCCAAGGACTGGCGGAGCCCGCTCTTCTACTGGCGCGGCGAGCTGACGCCGCGCGACGACCGGCTGCGGTGGCAAGGGGCCTGGGTCGCCCGCGAGGGCGATCTCCCGACGGACGAAGAGTTCGCCGCGTCCGAGAACGCCTTCGACGTGTCCTCGACCGCCGGCTTCGAATTCCACACCCACCGCCGCCTGTTGGGCATCACGCGGGAATTGGGCCACGCCACCGCCTTCGGTTTGGTCGACGGTTACTACCTCCTCGACAACGGCGGAGGCCACGAGCGCTTCACGGACATTCGGCAGAACGTCGTCGTGCAGGAAAAATCGCCGACCGATCCCCTCGTTGTCGCCGCGGTCGGCACCACGGAGTTCGGCGCGTTCGTCTCGCTCGGGAGCATCGACGAGACGGCGTCCGGGACCGTCCAGATGACGCTCGCCCGGCGCTACGTCGACGACTCGGACCCGCGCGCGCGGTGGACAACGGACGACGTCCTCGACGACGGAGTCCGAATGCGCCACGGCGCCGGAATGGCCTCAGGCTCCCTCTGGGACTCGCTCCCGTGGCGCGGCGCCGCGTAAGAAGAGGGGCGCGCAACATCCCCGCCGCGGCCGCCGGCAGCGACCGCGCTGTTCGTGGTGCTGGACCAGCATGCTTACTCACTGGTCGCCCGTGGAGCCGGAGCCGGAGGGGGGCGGGGAGTCGCGGGAGTCGTCGTCGTCGACGGCGCCGCGCGCGTAGTGGAGGGCCTGGCGGAGGAGGTCCGCGGCCTGCTGGGAGTCGTCGTCGTCGTCGTCGTCGTCGTCGTCGTCGTGGACCTCCTCGACGGGGTCCAGCACCGCGCCGTAGTCCGGCTGGGGCGCGGCGAGGAGCGAGTCGATCGACGAGTTGAGGCTCCGGGACGAGATCGACGCGGAGCCGGCGTTGCGCGGCGTGAGCGCGTCGAGCGCGTCGTCCGTCTTCTCGTCGCCGCCGAGGAAGGACGCGAGGAGCGCGTCGGGCGACGTCGGGTCGTCGTCGCCGCCGTCCGAGGCGCCGTCGCCGTAGGGCTCGAGGCCGGTGTCGAGGCCGCGGCGCTGCTCGAGGAGGAGGTCGCCGCGGGGCTCGAAGCGGAGGCTGCGCTGGCGCATGGACGCCGTCAGGTCCTCGAGGCGCCGGAGCACGTCGTCGAGCCCGTCCTCCTCCGTCGACGTCGACTTGTCGGGCGACGCGTCCGACTTCGTCGCCGTCCCGTCCGACGGCGAGGCCGACGAGCCCTCCTGGAGGGACCGCAGGAGCCGCTCCGCCGCGCTCAGCGCCGCCGTGTCGTCGTCCGCGGGGCTCTCGTCGTCGCCGCCGTCGGCGAGCACGGCCCGCGCCCAGTCCGCGAGCGCGTCGGCGTCGGCGGACTGCGGCGGCGAGAGGCCGCCGCCGTCGTCGCGCGGCGGCACCTCGGCCGTCGCGCCGAGGGCCTCGCGCTCCTCGGGGATCGCGCCCGCGCGCGCGACGGCGCGCCGCGCCGCGGCGAGGTAGTCCTCCTCCTCGGCGGCCTCGTCGTCGTCGTCCGTCGTCGACGACAGCACGGCGCCGGGCGCGCGGCGCGTCGACGACGAGCTCGACAGGCCCGGGAACTCGTCGCGGGGCTCCGACGGCGACGACGACGACGAGAGCCCGCCACCGGTCGCGGGCGACGACGAGCTCGACGACAGCGGGCCCCGCGCGGGCGACGCGTACTCGCCGTCGGCGTCGCCGCCCTTGGCCTCCTCGTAGGCGACGGGCGGCGCGTCGGGCGCCATGTAGGCCTCGAGGACCGCGCGGACCTCGGGGCTCGACGGCGTGGCGTCGTCGCCGCTCGACGACGGCGCGGGCGCCATGTAGGCCTCGAGGACCTCGCGGCGCACGAGCAACTCGTCGTCGTCGCCGCCGTCCGGCGCGGGCGCCGGCGGCGGCCAGACCGCGTCGACGACGACGCCGTCGTCGTCGTCGTCGTCGTCGCCGTACCAGTCCGGCTCCGCGACGGGCGTCGGCAGCTCGTACCAGGGCGTCGGCTCGATGACGGGCGACGCCGGCGAGTCCGGCGGCGGGTCCGGCGCCGCGCCGGGCTCGTCGTCGTACCACGGCCGCGGCATGGCCTCGTCGTAGGGCACGACGGGCGGGTCGTCGAACCACCGCGCCTCCTCGCTGCTGCTGCTCGAGGCGACGGCGAGGCCCGCGCGCCGCGCGAGGTCCAGCGCCGACGGCGGCGGCGCCTCGACGGGCGGCGGCGGGCTGTAGGGCTCGTCGTCGTGCGACAGCGACGACGGCTCGTCGGTGTCGTCCGCGACCTCGGCGACGGCGGGCGCCGCGGCCTCGGCGACGGCGGGCGCCGCCGCCTCCGGCGCCGCCTCCGGGGGCGCGTCCGCGTCCTCCGGCGCCGCGTCCGCCTCCTGCGTCGCGTCCTCCGGCGCCGACACCGGCGTCGCGTCCTCGAAGGCGTCCAGCGCGTCCGCGGCGGCCGCGGGCGCCTCGGACGCCGCCGCGCGCTCGCGGACGGCGGCCGCGCCGCCGGCCCGCGTCGAGGCCGCGGCGCTGCGCGCGCTTCGCGCGCTGCCGCGCGTCCTCGGCCTCGCGCCGGAGGCGCCCCGCGGCGCGCGCCGCGGCCGCGGCGGCCGCGGCGCCGACGGACGGCTCGCCCGACGCCGCGGCGAGGCGCGCGACGCGGCCCGCGGCCTCCGTCGCGGCGGCCGCCGCCGCCGAGAGCGCGTTGGCCTCGACGAGCGCGCGGCCCGAGCCGCGGACGTGCTTCGTGCCCGGCGCCGACACGGTCTCGCGCGACACGCCGCCGATGCCCGGGCCCCGCGTCTCGACGACGCCGCCGGACTCGAAGCGGAAGTGCGACGCCTCGCCGGCGCGCGCCGACGCCGCCGCCTTGGCCTCCGCCGCGGCCGCGACGGCCGCGCGCTCGCCGCGCGCCGCCGCCGCGGCGTCGCGCTCCGCCGTCGCCGCGCGCCGCGCGGCGTCGCCCCGCCGACCGCTTCGCGGCGGCGATCTCGCGCTTGACGCTGCGCTTCCGCGCGGCGTCGAGGTTCTCGTCGCGGACGTCCGCCGCGACGTCCGCGAGCCGGTGCGCCGCGCCGACGGCCTGGCGCCGCCGCTCCGCGAGGAGCGCCGACGTCGCCGCGCGGTCCCGCGCGGCGTCGCGCCGGTCCTCGGCGGCGGCCTTGGCCTCGCACGCGCGCTCGAACTCGACGCGCGCGCGCTGCTCGCCGAGCACGCGCCGCTCCCGCTCCCGGAACACCTCCCGCGACTGGTGCATGCGCGCCGCGCGCAGCTCGAGCCGCAGCTGGTGCGTCGCCTCCTTCTCCTCGTTCGGGGACCACGCGACGACGCGCTTCGGGTTCGACGGGACGCACGACGCCGCGCAGACGTCGAGGATGGACATGGTGGCGTGTTTTCGGCTTTGTGGGCTGTGTTTCGGCCGCGCGCGACGACGCGAGACTTTGAGTGGTTCACTCGCAAGGCACCCGAGCGATCGAGTCGGCTCGGCGCCCTTGTTGGGCTGTGTTTCGGCCGCGCGCCGACGCAATACAGCTCTCTTGCGATTCAAAAGCTCCACAAAAACTGTGTGTTGAAAAACTCAAGCAAGCCGATCGCCGTCTAATCGGCGGTCCTTGAAGTGCGCCGCTGCTCGACGATGATTGCGCGATCTCTCTCGGCCCTCGTCTTGACCCTCGCGGTCTCAATCGCCGCCGCCGGCGTCGGCGACGACGGCCAGGAAAAGAAACTCCAGGAGTACATGCGCGTCGGCCGGCGTCCGGGCGCGCATCGCCACGCGATCGCCGCGACCGGCCAAACGCGCGACGCCGCAGGTTCGCGCGCGACTGGATCTTCGAGCAGGACTTCGCCGAGGGCGCGCGAAAGAGCTGGCGCCGGAGCGGCGCGCCGCCCGCGTCCCGCGAGCTCGAAACGCCGCCGAGACGACGCGCCGCCGAAACGACGCGCCGATCGACCGCCGCCGCGCGCAGGCCCCGTGCGCGTGAGCCTCGCCAAGGACCGCATCGCGCGCTTCCGCGGCGCGGGCCGCCTGCAGGGCATCTGGAACCACAAGGACGCCAAGCCCGGCTACCTCGAGATGGAGCTGCCGCTCAACAAGGACGACTCGAACTACCTGCTCTACACGGCGAACTGCAAGCCGGGCAAGTTCTTCAGCAACGCCATCAACTTCGAAGAGGGCACGATCTACGAGGTGTCGTCCTTCGTCCCGACCAAGGAGACGACCAAGGAGGTCGGCAAGTTCACCGTGCGCCCCGTCACCGCGCGGCCCATGCTCGATCGCGCGCTGCGATGCTAGGGCGTAAGCGGCGGTGTCCGGTTCCTGTCGCGCGACGTGTGCGGGCGGGGCGTACCATATATCCCGGCGTACTATCTGGGCAGTCGACGCGTTGACCTTCAAGAAGCCGAGACGTTGACGCCGCGCAAGGTTATGGGAGAGCGCCTGGCCCCTGCGAACGGCGCGATTGTGCTTCCTGACGGCGGCTAGCGATTGTGCTTCCTGACGGCGGCTAGCGCTGCGCGACGCGGCTCAACAAAGCACAACGCCATCATGCAGAACCCGTTCTCGGCGTTCGTCGACGACTCGACGGAGGGCGGCGACGACAGCGTCGTCGACGGCGCGGAGAACGTCGAGCGGCGCCGCGAGGAGCTCGAGGCGCTGGAGGCGATCTACGGCGAGGAGAAGGTCTGGGTGGAGGGCGACGGCGGCGACGCGCTCGGCGTCGTCTGCGTCACGCTCGAGCCGGCCGCGTGGGCCGCGGCCGCGGCGCCGCCGCGCGTCACCGTCGCGTGCCGGCGGCCGCGCGGCTACCCCGAGAGCCGGCCGCTCGCGTTCGACGTGCGCGTCGCGGCGGCGGACCGCGCGGCCGTGCCGACGAAGACGCTCACGGGCCTGCGCGCGCGGCTCGACGGCGTCGCGCGCTCGCTCGTCGGCGACGTCGCGATCCACGCGCTCTGCGCCGAGGCCGTCGAGGCGCTCGACGCGCTCGAGGAGACGGCGCGGCCCCTCGACGAGCAGATGGCCCTCCGCGAGGCGCGCGAGCGCGAGACCGCCGCCGCGCGCGACGGCGCCGCGCGCCGCGCCGCCGAGGACGCGCGGCGCGCGCGCGACGCGGAGCACCGCGCGCGCGTCGCGTCGACCCTCGAGGACGAGCGCGGCGCGCTCCAGCGGCGCGCCGAGCCCCTGCGCCTCGACTCGCTCGAGGGCGACGTCGCGCGCGGGTCCCTGAGCAGCGACGAGAGCGAGGGCCCGCTCGGCCGCGGCGACGACCGCGAGTCGTCGCGGTTCCACGCGGACTTCAAGGAGGTCGGCGTGCTGGGCAGGGGCGGCTGCGGCGAGGTCTGTCGGTGCCTGAACCGCCTCGACCGGCGGACCTACGCCATCAAGAAGGTCAGGCTCCGGCGCGGCGCGACGCGGCGCGACGCGAAGCGCCAGCTCCGCGAGGTCGAGGCGCTCGCGGCCGTGTCGCACCCGCACGTCGTGCGCTACTACCAGGCCTGGATCGAGGGCCTCGAGGCGCCCCGGGAGCCGGAGATGGCCTTCGAGGACTTCGACCTCTGCCAGAACTTCTCCGAGGACGACGGCTCCGACTCGTCGTCCGACGACGACGACGCGCTCGGGTCGTCGACGCGGGCGTCCGCCGTCGACCGCAAATTCGGCGGCTGCCTCTACATCCAGATGGAGTACTGCGCGACGACGCTGCGCCAGGCCATCGACAGCGGCCGCCTCGCGGGCCGCCGCGAGGACGCGTGGCGCCTCCTGCGCCAGATCATCGAAGCGCTCGCCTACCTCCACGGCCTCAAGCTCGTCCATCGCGACCTCAAGCCGGCGAACGTCTGTGCCGAATTCAACCACTGGTTCGGGTGGTCCTGACCAAACTTGAGAATTCTCTAGCTCGGTCAAATCGAAGTCGATTCGGCTGATTTTTGGACGAATCGATTGCTCTCATCGAGTTCTCGAAGCCAAGCCAAAGAAGTTGCGTCAAAACATTCGCGTGCGCTCACATTGAAGTCGAGTTGAATATTTGCATTCGGCACAGGCGAACGTGCTCCTCGACGCGGCGCAGAACGTCGCGCGCGGCGTCCCGCGGCCGCGACGCGCCGACCGGGATGGAACATCTCGTAGGTCAAGCTCGGCGACCTGGGCCTCGCGACGACCGTCGAGGACGACGACGACCGCGCGCCCGCGCGCGACCTCGCGGCGCGCGGCCCGCGTCCTCCGAACGTTCCGATCCGGGGGGGGAGGATGCCAAATAGCCAAAGCCGAGCCGCGGCAGCACCATCATCGCGGCCCCGCTTCGCCGAAGCCGCCGCCACGTCGCCCGATGACACTCGAGAAATAGTTTTCAAGCTGACCCCCCGCGCGCGCGCCGCGCTCGCCCGATCCGTCGGCCGCCGCGGCGCGCCACGCGTCCCCGGAACCGCAGGCGACGCCGACGTCCCTGGCCGGGACGGAGCGCGCCTGGAGCGAGAGCTCGGCGACGGGCGGCGCGATGGACGACACGATGACGTCGCTCACGCGCGGCGTCGGCACGTTCCTCTACCGCGCGCCGGAGGTCGCGGCCGCGCGGCCCGGGCAGCACTACGCCGGGCAGGAAACAAAAATATGCGACACGACTTCAATGTGCAAGTATTCGCACGGTTTGACATGTTTTTTTCACTGTCTAAAAGAACCCGCCGAGAGAAAACGATCCGTCCAAAAATCAGCCGAATCGACTTCGATGTGACCGAGCGAGAGAGGTTTTTGCTGGACGGGGCGCTCCACTGGTCGTTCCCGGCACAGGCACTACGACCACGCCGCGGACATGTACAGCCTGGGCATCGTCGCCTTCGAGGTGGCCCACGCGCCCTGGGACACGGCCATGGAGCGCGTCGAGCACATCCAGGCGCTCCGGCGCGCCGGGGACCGGCCCGCGGCGGCGGCGCCGGGCGTCTTCGCGGCGGACGCGGACGCGACCGTCGCGGCCCTCGTGGTCGCGCTCGTGCGCCAGGACCCGGGCGAGCGGCCGGGCGCCGCGGCGCTCCTCGAGGGCCCGCTGCTGCCCGCGCGCGCGGAGCTCGAGCGGCCCCTGCTCGAGCGCGCGACGGCGGCGCTCCGGAACCCGCTCAGCGAGACGCGCGGCGTCCTCGTGGACGCGCTCTTCGACGCGCCGACGCCCGAGGTCGTGGACCTGGGCTTTGACGCGTCCGACGACGACGGCGCGAAGCCCGCGGCGCGGCGGCGGCGCGCCGCGGCGCGCGGCCACGACTTCGGCGTCGCGCCCGCGCGGCGGCGCCTCGCGGCCGCGAGGATCGAGCGCGCGGTCGTCGCGCTGCTCGAGCGCCACGGCTGCGTGCCCTTCGACGCGCCGCTCCTGCGGCCGCGGCCGCCGCCGCGGGGCGACGGCGGCGACGGCGACGGCGGCGTGCCGCTGCTCGACGCGCGCGGCGCCGTGCTCCTGTTGCCCGACGAGTCGACGTCGGGCTTCGCGCGGCGCGTCGCGCGCCGCGCGCTCGCCCGGCCCCACTTCGGGGCCTGCCGCCGCTACGCCGCGGGCCGCGTCTTCGCCGCGCGGCCCGGCGCGCGCGGCGCCGCGCGGCCGCGCGAGCGGCGCGAGATCGCGTTCGACGTCGTCGCGACGGCCGCGGGCCGCGAGCCGAGCGGCGCGGCGCTCTGCGGCGAGGCCCTGGCCCTCGCGGCGGCGGCCGCGGCGCTCGGCGAGGGGCCCGGCGCCGTAACCGTCGCGCTCGGCCACGGCGCGCTCGCCGGCGCGGTCCGCGCGCTCCGGTCCGACGCGTCGCCGCCGCGGTTCCGCGAGCAGCCGTGTGGAACTCAAATCTTCAACCCGACTTCCATGTGAGCGTATGCGACGGTTTCGGCACACGCTCTTTGGCCGTGCTTCGAGAACGCAACGAGAGCAATCGATTCGTCCAACAATCAGCCGAATCGACTTGGATATGACCGAGATAGAGAGTTCTGAAGTTTGGCGGGGACCCCCCAAACCAGTGGTTGATTTCCACACAGGCGAGCAGCTCGACGCGCTCTTCGACGGGACTCTGCTCGCCGGGCCGCCGCGGGCGGGCCTGCGGCGGGCCGCGGCGCTGTTGGCGGCCGCGCGCGCGGCGCCGGCCGCGGACGACCGCGCGCGGAAGCGCTGGGAGGCCGCGCGGCGCGACGCCGCGGCCGCTATAGACGACCTCGACGCGGTCCTGGCCTGCGCGGCCTACGCGGGCCTCGACGAGGGCGACGACGAGGGCGACGAGTGCGGCGCGCCCGCCGCGCGGAGCCTGTCGACGTCGCCGGGCCGCGCGACGCCGTCGTCGTGGACGTGCGAGGCGCGCCTCGAGGACCGCGCGCGGCCCGAGGAGGCGCTGCACCGCGCCGCGCGGCGGTCGCGAAAACGGGGGCCCGGCGCGCGCGTCGCCGTCGACGCGGCGCTCCCGTTGGCGCGGCCCTTCGCCGGCGGCGCGCGCTTCGCGGTGTCGCGCGGCGGAAACGTCGTCGCCGTCGGCGGCCGCTACGACGACGCTTTGGCGCGCCACGCGTCGCCCCTGGACCGCGGCGCGGCCGACGCCGCGGCCGTCGCCGTCGGCTGCCGCGTCGACGTCGACGCGCTCGCGCGCGCGGCCGCGGCCGCCGCCGACGCGGCGCCCCCCTTAGCTCCCCTCGAATGCTTCGTCGCCGCCGAGGCCGCGCCGAGCGACGAGTCCGCGGCGCGGTCCGCGCTGGTGGTCTGCGCCTTCCTGCGCCGCGGCGGCGTCGCGGCGGACTACGCGCCGCTGCCCGCCGAGCCCGGCGCCGGCGGCAAACGCCGGGACCCGCGCCGGTCGGACCACCGCGCGGCGTGCGCGGCGTGGGCCGTGCCCTGGCTCGCGACCGTCGGCCGCGACGGCGCGCTGGCGCTCGCCCACGCGACGCGGCCCGCCCTGAACCGCGACGACCTGAGCCTGGACGAGCTGCTGGAGGCCGTGGTCCGGGGCCGCGCGCCCGAGGCCCGGGGCCGCGCGCCGCGGCCCGACGACGACGCCGTCGCTCGCGCACGCGGCGACGGCGGCGGCGGCCTTTTAGCGCAGGCGCTCCGGAGCCGGCGCGACCCGTCGCCCGCGCCGTCGGCGGCCGCCGAGGCGCCGGGCGCGCCCGCCGCCGAGCGGCTACCGGTCGGCTACGCGCACTGCGCGAGCCCGTCCGCGCCGCGCGCCGCGGACGCGCGGCGCCGCGCGGCGGCGGCGCTCGAGGCCGCGGGCCTCCGCCGCGTCCACCTCGTCGCCTGGGACGACGCCGCGCCGGCGCTCGCGTGCGTCTCCGTCGACGCCAAGCTCCGGAGCCTCCGCGCCGTCGGCGCCGCGGCCATCGACCTCGGCGCCGACGCCGCGGCCCTCCGCGCGCGCTGCGACGACCACGGCAACGACCGCCGCGCGCTCCGCCTCTTCGTCGACGCGCTCCTCGAGGCGCGCGCCGCGAAGCGCCGGGGCGGCGCGCTCATGGTCTACGTCTACTCCACGCACGACGACGCCCTCGACCTCCTCTCGCTGCCGCTCCCGGCGCCGGCCGCGCACTCCAAGAAGCCGAACGAGAAGGCGGGGCGCAAGGGGCGGAAGCGCTAGCCACGTCTGTGTGTAAAACGTGACCCGAACGTGGCACGAGCGTCTTTTACCGGGGCCCCATGTATGCGAGCGACGAACCACCCCCTCACAGAACCCCCTGCGCACGCCGCAACGACCAACTCCCTCCGCCTCAAGGCCGGGGAGCCGCGGCGCGGGGGCCAAGCCAGACAGGTGCCGATCGACTCGCACGGTCGACGCACACCGTGGCACAAGTTACGGGTCCGCGGGAAATGGCCGGCGGAGGTCCGCCGCGGCGCCCGGGGCCTCGCGCTATGTGGGCAACGCACCGAAGAAAAGACGCGGGCGACGCCCTCTGGCGCTCCGTCAGGCCGGGCACGCGCCTGACGACCTCGCGAGGAGTCGTCGGAGCGCCGCGTCGACGTCGAGGAGCGCTTCGCCGGACGCCGCTCGCGGCGCCACGCCGAGGTCCGCGCCGTCGAGGACGACCCGGAGGATGCCGCCGGCGCCGCCGCTCGCGGCGCCACGCCGAGGTCCGCGCCGTCGAGGACGACCCGGAGGATGCCGCCGGCGCCGCCGCGCGCGAGCGCGCGCGGCCCCGGTCGACGAGGCGCAGGCCGACGCCGCCCGCGAGCGGCACGCTGACGGCGAGCTCCTCGGCGGACGTGTCGACGGTGGCGACGCCGTCGAGGCGCGCGGAGACGGAACGCAGCGCGTCGGCGGCGGTCGCGCGGAGCGCGAAGCCGTCTCGCCACCGGTCGCGCGCGTCGGGCGCCTCCGCGTTAGCCGCCAGCAGCGCACACGCGGAACTCGCCCGCCTGTCCCAGGGTCGATGCTGGACGAGGCCGGCTGTCGACTCCTCGACCCACGCGGCCGAGAGCGGCGGCTGGAAGCTCGTCGCCCGCACCAGCAAGACCAGCCAGAGCTGCGAACGCATCGCGAGACGGGCCGAGGACGAGGTCCCGAAAAGCGGTCAGCAGGCACGAGCTCATCGCTTGCAAAGATGTGGACGAGGAGCTCGATATTGGTTGTTCGGCGGAGGCCACGACGCCTCTCTCGTCAGTGTTGACATCACCTTCGGCCAAAACAGCCTGAGCAGCCCCGCGCGAAACGAGCTCACAGCGCATCGCAGCGCATCGCGATGGTCGCGCCGCGGAGCCGGTGGCAAGGGGCCGTGGCGGGCGTCTGCGTCTTCCAGCTGGTGGCCATGGGCCTCATGAGCCGGACGCTGCGCCCGGTGACGTTCCTCTTCGCGACGTCGCCGGGCTGGAGCTGCCTCGCGCTCGCCGGGGCGCTGGCGACGCGGCCCGGCGCCGTCTGGGGCCTGCTCTTCACGGAGCGGTGGTTCAGCGCGGACCTGGCGCTGGGCGCCGTCGCGACGTTCACGAGCGCGCTCGTCTGCCTCGGCGTCCACGTCGAGCACGTCCACTTCCACAAGACGTCGGCGGTCTCGGCCTTCGCGCTCTCGCAGGTGCTCTGGGCCAACGGCCTCAACGCCGTCAACGACTTCCGGCGCGCCGCCGCGGGCAAGAAGGACGACGACGCGCCGCCGCCCGCGAGCGACGGCGGCGGCGACGGCGACGACGGCGACGACGGCGACGACGCGCCGAAGAGCCCCGTGGCGCCGGCGGGCTTCGCGCGGCCCGCGGCGGCGGCCGCGCGCGGCGGCGACGCCTCCGCGCAGGCGGGCGCGGGCGCGGCGGTCATGGTCGCGACGGGCCTCGACATCATCCGCCACATCGAGCGCGCGCCCGGGAACATGGACCCGCTGCCGTTCGCGCTCGTCGGCCTGAGCATCCTCCTCCTGGGCGTCTACTCGACGCCGCCCGTCGCGCTCAAGCACCGGGCCCTGGGCGAGTTCGTCATACTGTGCTGGGTGCTCTGCGTCAACGGCATCCTCGCGCTGACGCTCCACCGGGACCCGCTCGAGCCGTCGTACGCGCTCGCGTCGCTCGGCTGCGCGCTGCTCCGCCCGCTCGCGAACTTCTGCGCCAACGTCCGCGACGCGCCCGCCGACGACAAGCACAAGCGCCGCACGCTCGCCATCCACCTCGGCGCCGCGGGCATCAAGAAGGCCTACGCCGCCGTGCCGCTCCTCGTCGTGCCCGCCGCGACCGCGTGCCTCTTCGCGACGGGGCCCGAGATCCTCGCGCTCAACCTCCTCGCGCCCTGGGGGCTCTACGTCGCCTACGACGCCCTGGCCAAGAGCCCCGGCGCCCTCGCCGCGGACGCCAAGTTCTACGACTACACGCAGGCGACGGCCTGCGCGCTCGGCGGCATCCAGTTCGCCATGGTCCTCCGGGACTTCCTCTGAGGGCGCCGCTTTTTTTCGGTAAAACGTCCGCACGGCCGCCGGGGCTCCCGGGGTGCCCAGCGGCCCGTGGTTCGCGCCCTGCGCGACTCGTCCTCTGGCGAAGGCACCGGGGCCACGTCCTACGTTAGCTCGCGTCCTCGGCGGCGCCCCCGAGCGTCGGGAGGCCCTTGCCCGAGAGCGCGGACGTCGCCGCGTGGAGCAGGAGCCCCGGCGGGCCGATGAAGTTCGTCAGCAGGAGCGAGTGCCAGCAGACGATGTTTCGGTTGACGCCGTCGAGCCAGATCAGGCGCCCGACGAAGAGGTCCCAGACCAAAACGTGCGGCCACTCCTCGGCGACGAAGTTCGGCACCTCGAAGAGCCGCCGCATGCCCTCGAGCTGCGACTTCGTCGGGTCGAAGACGTCCGCGAAGATGAAGATGGGCTCGATGCCCCGGGGGAAGTCGTCCGTCGCGGCGAGAAGGACGACGACGGCGTGCACGAGCGAGCACGCGAGCACGGGCAGCAGATTTCCGTTGACGCGCTTCGTGAGCTCCGCGCGCGGGAACGCGATCATCGGGAGCCAGAAGAACTGCGGCAGGAAGGTATCGATTGAAACGCCGGCGCTGATGACCGTGTCGGCGAGGGTGGAGCGGAGAGCGAACGGGTTGCGGCGCGGGGAGCGCTGCGTGTTGCGATGCTGCGAGTGCTGCTGAAGCGGACGAATTGCCGCGGTTCTCGGCGATGGCAAGTGGAACGCGTCGATCGATAAGCTCAGCAGCAACACGAAGCGCGCCATCGAGCGCGCAAACGCCACGTTTGACGCCGCCATCGCGTGCTGCAACTAGCAGCAGGGTGAAGGTGCAGCAGATGTGCAGTCGCTTCTGTTCTGAGAGCACGGCTCTCAGCTCTGGCATCTCTCGATCCTAGCTGCCAAAAATAGACTGCGCGCCGCCACCGCCGCAAAAACCTCCTCGCAACTGCGTCGTATCGTCCGCAACAATTCGCACCGACTCGCAGACCGAAAAGCAGCGGTGCGACCGACTTGAGAGATCAATCCTCGCAGGTACCAGATACACAAGCAGATCCGCGCCATGGATGTTCTTCGCAACTGGTTCAACCTCGGCGCCTCGATGGGCCTGTCCTCGTCCGCCAAAACAACCAACCAGGAGGCGCTCGAGAAGACCTACAAGACCGCCGACTACCTCGGCAGCCGCGGCGCCGACGGCCTCGCGGCGCTCAAGAAGCTCGCGTCCCAGACGTCCGTCGACGAGGGCGGCCGCAAGGCCGCGCTGCCGCGCGGCTGGAACAAGGCCATCCCGCTCCACGGCGCGGCGATGAACGCGCACGTCGACACGACGCTCGCGTACCTCGTCGACGACCTCGGCTGCGACCTCGACAAGAAGAACGGCGACGGCGACGCGCCGCTCCACGTCGCCGTGACCTGGGGCCGCCCCGAGGTCGCCGACTACCTGCTGAGCCGCGGCGCCTTCTTCGCCGCCAAGGACGCCGACGGCCTCACGCCGCGCGAGGCCGCGCACCGCCGCCAGTCGCTCCTCGAGTCCGGCGACCCGGCGTACGTCGCGCGCTGCGTCGAGAAGGGCATGGACATCCCGGGCCTCCGCGAGGGCGGCAAGGCGCTCTGCAAGCTCCTCGACGGCGTCGCCGCCTCGGGATCCTACTCGAAGTACATCGCGGCGCGCCAGTGAAGCGCGGCCGCGAGGAAGAAGAAGAAGAAGATGCCGGCGCCCCGGCCGCGCGCCCTACCCGCGCCGCCGCCCGCCCCCTGTGACACCCGCGCGTAAGCTCGACGATGTGCCCCGAGTCCTCCAGGGCGGTCGACCGGGCGGCGCTACACTTGCTGGCATCTCCGCGCTCTTTGCCCCGGCGAGCGCCAGCACAGAGTCCAACCTCGTCATCTTGAGGCCCGAGTCCGTCCGCCAGCCCCGTCGTCGACGCCCGCTCAGCTCCGACTGCAAATCGCCTAGCTCAAATCCGAGCGACGCGCCTAGTGCTACGCCCTCAGCGGCCCGTCATCGCTGCCGCCTTCGGCCGCTCCGTCAACGCGCGATGTGGGCGTCGTTCGGGCTCCTCGCGCTCGGCCTAGCGCAATGCGCTGCGTTCACTGGCCGACCGATCCACTCGCGCCAGACCGTGCTGCTCGCGGCCACGCTAGAACCGAAGAAAGCGCGGCCTTCGCGCGTCAAACGTCTCGAAGACAGCGTGGCGCGGCTCGAGGCCGGCGAGAGCCAGGCGACTGCGGATGAGATCAGAACGAAGGTCGCGGAGCTCGCGGAGAAGACGAACGACGCGCGCATGAAGCGCAAGATGGGTTCGCTGGAGCGACGAATCGGGGCCGTCGAGTCGGGGGCCGCCGCGCCGCAGGCCGAGGCGCCACCGGCGGCGCCCAAGGCCGCGCCGGCGCCGCCCAAGGCGAAGAAGCCCGCGCCGAAGAAGCCCGAGGGTAAGAAGGCCGCGCCGAAGAAGCCCGAGGCCAAGAAGCCGGCGCCGAAGAAGCCGGCGCCCAAGGGCGCGAGGCCCCCGGGCGGCAGGCCCAAGAAGAAGGAGTTCGCGGCCAAGACGGTCAAGGCCGGCGACGTCGTCGCCGGGACGTGCGTCGCGGTCCGCGGGTACGGCGCGATGATCGCGCTCGACGCCTGGAGCCCCCGGTCGTCGCACCTCGGCGACGGCGCGAGCCCGCGCACGGCGCTGCTCCACATCTCCGAGATCTCGTCGGGCCGCGTCGACGACGTCGCCGCGGCCGTGCCCCTGGGCTCGCGCGTCGAGGTCGCCGTCGTCAACGTCGACGGCGCCAAGGGCGGCCGCGTGTCCGTGTCGACGAAGCGCCTCGAGCCGGGCTACGAGGCCATCGAGGCGTCCATCGAGGCCGCGTTGGAGGCGCCGCGGTCCGGCGCCGAGGGCCTCCTCGACCTCGCGGCGTCGCTGAGCCTCGACGACCTCGACGGCCTCGTCGAGGCGCGCGCGGCGCGGACCAAGGCGAAGAAGGCGAAGAAGAAGAAGGTCGAGAAGAAGGTCGAGAAGAAGGTCGCGGCCGACAAGCCCGCGGCGCCGACGCCGCTGAGCCTCCAGTCCGCGTTCAGCCTCGACAAGGAGGCCAAGGTCGCGCAGCGGTCCGAGGAGTTCGAGCTCCTCATGCGCGACGTCATCTTCGAGGCCGGCTCGCTCACGGACGTCAAGCTCCTCAAGGGCCGGAAGAAGAAGGGCACGTTCACGAACCCCTTCTGGGCCAAGGTCTTCAAGCCCAAGCCCGGCGCGCCGCCGCCCGACGACGAGGCGACGTTGTAGTGTATAAAACCTAGGGCCCGGAGACGGCGCGCTCAGTCGGAGTCGGAGTCGGACGACGAGGCGACGTTGTAGTGTAGATATTAAAAACGAGGGCTCGGAGACGACGCGCCCCGCTCAGTCGGAGTCGGAGTCGGACGACTCGGACTCGGAGGACGACTCCGACGCGGCCTTGGACACGGCGCCGTCCGCGTCGTCGTCGTCGTCCGACGACGACGACGACGACGACGAGGACTCGTCCTCCGAGTCCGACGGCGCCACGGCGACGCGCGCGCGCTCCGCCGCCGCGGCGACGCGCGCGCGGCGCGCTTGGAGGGCCTCGTCCGCGAGCATGATGTCGTGGACTTCGTCGCGGAGCTCCTCCGTGATGACGTCGAGGGCCTCGGCGAAGGGCAGCTCCGGGTGGCGCTTCCGCAGGCGCTCCCAGCACTGACGCGCCGCCGACGTGCAGGCGCCCGGGTGGTCCCAGCCGAGGAGCGTCCAGACGACGTCGCTCTCGTCCGTCGCGTGCTTGAGCTGGATCTGCTCGCAGAGCTCGAGCGCCATGTCCGGATCGCGCAGCAGCTCCCCCCGGTGGTTCCGGCGCTTGAGCGAGTCCCACTTCTTGCGGCACTGCTGGCGGCTCCGCGTGCCCACGAGCGCGGCCACCGCCGTGAACGACACGCGCGCCGGGTCGTCGATCTCCAAAATGGGCGTGCCGTCGACGTGGGCCTCGACGAGCGCGGTCAGCTCGGCGTCGGTCCAGGCCTCCTTGACGACGATGGTGCGGGCACCGCCCGCCGGCGCCGGGGCGCTCGGCTCGCCGTAGAGCGTGCGGTAGCGGTCGCGGCACGCCGCGGGCGTCCGCTTGAGTTCGACGCCGATGGCCGTCCAGTCGGGCCCGTGCCGCTCGAAGAGCTCGCGCAGGAGGTTCGAATCCTCGCCGCTCCAGCGCTTGTCGGGGCCCTGGCGGTTCGCGTAGGCGTGGCGCTGGCGCTTCACGTGGCCGTAGAGCGAATTCTCGCTCCGGAGCGGGAACTGCGCGGCGATCTCCTTCCAGGGGTTCGACCGCTTCTCCCCGACGGCGCCGCGCCAGGCGGCCTTGGTGCTCACGAGGGCCTCGACCGTGAGGTTGCGCGACGCGGCGACGGCCTCGGCGGCCGCGCAGACCGCGACGGATTCCGCGCTCGAGAACTTGCCCTTGCGCTTCTCGCCGTTGACGTCGTCCGCGTAGAACGCCGACGCGAAGGTCTCCCGCCGCTCGGCCGACGCCGACGTGTACCGCTCCTGCTCCGCGACGGCGGCGGCCTTGACGGCCTCCTTGAGGCCGTCGAGGGCGCCGGGCTCCCGCCCCAGGAGCTCGCAGGCCCGCCGGCGGATGGACCGGGGCGTCGGCTCCGCGACCTCGCGCACGCCGCGCGCGATGGCGCGCAGCTCCTCCTTCGTCAGGGCCCGCTCGAGGCGGGGGGTCTCCGTGTACTCGAGCGCCGCCATGACCTCGCGCTCCGCGACGAACGCCGCGCGGGACTCGGAGAGTCGATCGAGAGTCGCTCAACTCGGGCTCAGGTTGTTGACATCAACATGCCCTGCGTACATCCCCGTCGATTCCCCGATGCGAGCGGTCAGCATAAACGCCAGCGCCGCAACTTTACCCCTCCTTCAGCGACCGCAAAAACGCCAGCGTCGCGTCGGGCAGGTCGCACGCCACCGCGGCGACCGCCGCGTCGACGACTGCCTCGTCGCCGTCGCCCCGGGCGTCGCGGACGACGTTGGCCGCGTGCCTCGTGCGGACCCACGGGCAGTACGCCGTGCCCACCTTCACCCCGCCGAACAGCAGCGCCTCGAAGAAGTGCATGTCCTCGAAGACGTCCAGGTCCTCGCCGTAGACGGCCTCGCCCCAGAGGCGCCTCTCGTAGGCCATGGAGCACGGCTGCCCGAAGGAGCTCCCCGACGACTCGCGGAACGTGCCGTCCGCGGCGTCGAAGTAGAAGAAGCAGCCCGGTTTGTCGGCGCCAAGGAGCACGGCGGACGTTCCGCCCGCGAGCGCCGCGGCCTGCGTTTTCAGGCGCGCCGGCGCGAAGTAGTCGTCGTCGTCCCAGACGACGACGACGTCGCCGCGCGCGCGGCGCGCCGCCGCGTTGCGCTTCGCGCCGAGTCGCCGTTGCTCGTCGCACCGGATCCAGCGCAGGCGCCCGTCCAGGGGCGTGCCCCGCAGGAACTCGCGCACGCCGTCGCCGTCGTCGCGCGGCGAGTCGTCGACGACGAGCACCTCGACCGCGTCGAGCGCGTAGTCCTGCCGCGCTATCGATCGCAGCGCTTCCCGGAGGAACAAGGGCCGAGCTCGCGTGATCATCATGATTGATATCGTCGCATCGTTTGTGCTTGTGCTGAGCGGAGGCAGGTCCGCCGCCTCATGAAACCCATCTCCAGTCGACCGGAGCACGCAGGCGCGTCGCGGCGGCGCGCGTCGCAGCGGCGCGACGAATGCATTCGCGCGAACGACGAGCGCATACAGCACATAGACAGCGCAGCGTGCAATGGCCACCATCGCGCGTGTGAGCTGCAACTTGACGTCGGTTGAAGCCTCCTTGCCCTCGCTCTCGACTAGCTCGCCTGGCGCGACGCGCGCGGCGAGACAGCACCGAAGCGGCGGGCAGCATGGCCGACTTCGAGGCCGACGCCGAGGAGCGGTCCATGGAGGCGGAGGCCTTGGAGGCCATCTTCATGGAGAACTTCGCCGACGAGAGCGGCGGCGCCGGCAGCTGCTACGCGCTGACCCTGGCGCCCGAGGACGAGGAGGCCCACGTGAGCTGCGTGCTGCGCGCCGACTGCCCGGCGGACTACCCGTCGGCGTCGCGGCCCGCGCTGAGCATCGCGTCCGTCTCCGGCCTGTCGAGCGACCGGCGCAAGGAGCTCGAGGTGTTCCTCGCCGAGTCCGCGGCGGAGCACGAGCCCGGGTGCGTCGTCGTCTTCGAGGTCGCGAGCGCGGTCCGCGAGTGGCTCGCGGAGCACAACGAGCCGGGCCAGGCCGACGAGTCCATGTACGCGGCCATGCTCCGGCGCGACGAGGAGAAGAAGCGGGCGAAGACGAAGAAGGCGGTCGTCTACGAGTCGAGCTCCGCGCCCGAGAGCGACGAGGCGCGGAAGATCCGCGAGCACGAGGAGGCCGAGGCGCGGCGCCTCGAGCGCCTGCGCCTCGGCACGACCGTGACGCCCGAGTCCTTCGGCGCGTGGTGGGCCGCGTTCCGCGTCGACGTGCTCGGCGAGCCCGCCGAGGCCGAGACCGCGGCGGCCGTCGTCCTCGACGCCAAGGGCCAGCGCAAGCTCACGGGCAAGCAGCTCTTCCTGCGGGGCAGCGCCAAGGAGGCGCCCGAGCCGCCGCCGGAGGCCGCCGACGGCGCGCTGAACGAGGACCTCTTCGACGGCGGCGACGACGACGACCTGGACGATTTGGACTTCGAGGACGACGACGACGACGCCACGGACGACGGCGAGGCGTAGTAGTAACGGCGCTCTGATGTTGCCGGGGGCCATGGCCACGGACGACGGCGACGCGGCGTAGTAACGGGCGTCGCCGGAGCGCGGGACGACGATGGGGCTTAGGAGCAGCAGCGGGGGGGAGGCGCCCCCCCCCGGGCGCGCGGCCGCGGGGGGGGAACTTCAGCGGACGCGCTTGCGGCGCGGCTCCGCGTAGCGGCGGCGCCGCGCGGGCGCCTCGCGCCAGCAGGCGAGGACGTAGAGGAGCACGTCGCAGATGAACTCCAGGCGGTTGTCGGTCTCGACGGCCATCTTGAGCAGCCCCGCGGCGAGCGAGTGGAGGAGCTTCTCCCACTTCGTGAGCCCCAATTTCCAGAGCCCGTCGAGGTCGACGCGGCGGTCGTGCTTCGCGTAGTACTTGCCGAGCTGGCGCACGGTGTGGGCGACGCAGGCCAGGGGCGTGTCGGCGTAGCGGCCCCGGAGCGCGGCCCAGCGCGCGTCGACGAGCCGCGCGACGCCGTCGTCGTCGCGCGCGGCGGCCGCGTCGAGCGCCGCGATGGCGGGAGCGAGACGCTGCTTGACGTCGTAGCAGAGGCCCTCGACGCAGGCCTCGCGCGTGTTGCCCGCGGGCCGCACCTTGGGCCGCGGCGGCGGCCGCGGGGGCCGCGGCGCGGGCGGCGGCGCGGGCGGCCGCCGCTCCGGGTGCGGCGGCGCGCCCGGCGGCCGCGGGCCCCCGTACTTGCACGACTTGCCGTGCTGCACCGCCGCGGGCGCGTGGGCGAAGGTCCGCGGGCAGCCCGCGGGGCAGGGGTAGGCGCCGTTGCGGTCGCGGGGGCCGAGGCTCACGGACGGCTTCGACCGGTCGCGGACGCGGCCCGAGACCCGCGGCGCGA